TTCGAAGTGTGGTTCTGTACTTTTACTTTAGCAGGGTGTATTTCATATTTTATATTTTTTAAACTTAATAATATGGTCTTTGGTGTTTGTTTTTTCTTACAATAATTAGCTTCAGATTATGATGCTCCATCAAAGTACAAAATAGTTCGACAATCTCAACCATACGGAACTTTATCCGGCGATGCTGGTCTACTATTTATTGCATATGCAGCTGACACAAAAAATTTCGATTTCATGTTGGATCGAATGACTGGAGATAGTGAAGATCGAAAAAATGATGACGTAATGCGTTTTACCAAATGTGTCACTGGGAATTATTGGTATTTTCCTAGTGTACCAGAATTTGATCGTTTAGTTGGCGGTGGTCTATGGGGATTTTGGCGACAATAAAATCTAATATCTTATTTTATTTTTTTTGTAATGAGTGAACATATTTAAATTAAATATATAACCTAATTTCCACTTTGTTCATGATCTATTGAGATGTAGCGTAATTGCGTATGTGGGTGGCATAGTTCACTTTAGTTTTAAAAAAAGCGCTGACGTTATTTAGAATGCTCTAACCTCACTGAATAGCAACAAAAAGTAACTAGAATGTTTCCTATCGACTGATTTTTTCAATTTAACATTGGGGTAATCGTCTCAAACAGTTCACTCACCTTGAAAGTCTCATCTCCCTTGATGAGCCTTGAATTCCTCCCCTCCCCTTGAAACATTGTCTACACCTTATCTCTTCTACAACAATTAGGTTATACGTTGCCTTTGACTGGCTGAATGGTGGGCTCTATGTTGGAAATTTCTACTGTTCAACAGTCTTCGTATAGTTCTATTGCTGTGAAACATGAAAGTTAGCGATACGTAGTGTACAAGTCTTTGGTAATAGGTGATGGCAGACGCTTTTTAGAATTGCAAAGAAATGGTGGTTAAATTGGTCACAATACAGATTTTCATTAAATTAAGTATTCCGGGCATGTGCTATTTATACCTTGCATGTCTTGCCTCGTACATTTGATGATGACTAACATAGGGTCAAGTAGGGAGAAGTACAGAAATGAACGAGTCAGTGTTGACTACTAAACTTTGCAATGTTGAGGTTCAGGCGATATTCATATTCTGTAAGGATATCTGGAGGACTTTGGTCAAAATTCGTTGAAGTGGTGTCTGTTGTTTCCATTATTTTCGGTAACTCGGGGTTTCGAACATCAGCGCACTTTAATCCCTATATTTTATTCATTCTACTCAAACTATGATTCTTAAGCATTGTTCTCTATCACATACTACTAGTAATTTGGCTTCTCTGTTGAACCAAGCTTTTTGTTTAACTTGAGTTTGGGATGCTCTACTCCTCTTCGAAAACAGTAGAAAACATTCATAAGTTATTAGTACTCGATCAAAATATTACTCTTTTGCGATGTCTTTAAGTGACTAATCCCGATGGACGACATGCGGTAATAGACATAGATGGTAAACAGGTTATTGGGATTTTGAGGGTCTTTCAACTCCGGTTGTGATTGTATTAGGTTGGAAGAGAGTTATGAACAGACAAATGTAAATGCGGCAACAATCCTTGAAATTAGTAAATGATGGTCTAAGGTGTGCTGGTGAGTTTGATATACCTCGGCGAAGTTTATGCATTTATCCCAATGTTAGTTTAAATGTATCAAAATCTACCGCAATGATGCAGAACCGCTTACTCTTTTTTCTCCTGTATCACGAGTTTTAAATTGTTCTACACCTTTTATTCCATGAGTCCATTCTCGCTTCTTGAATAGTCTCTACGCTCAATTTTCTCTCACTACTGATATTATTGGTACTTCTACTGTTATTCATGTTCAGATATTTTGTCTTACTACTGTGGTATGATTTGACAACCTAGGTCAATGGACATATATTACAGGTTCTACTTCACTCATGACTGAATGAGCTGTGGTTATATGAAGATAAACTTGAACTGGTGGACGTCCTTGATCATTCTACTTGATTTTAAAACGAATGTCGACACGATAACAATACATTTGGGTTAAAGGAACCAAATGTGCTGCCAATTGTCCTTTTTACAAAATTCTTTATTTATAAATCATAATACACAAACTTTATTTTCAAAAAAGAATCCGTCGTAAATTAATATTCTTATCTTGGAGTTTTATCAGGAGATTATTTGAAAGTTTTATGACAGTAGTCAATAAACAGTAAAACTTTCCTTCTTCAAAACATATTACGCTTGAAGTAAGCTGATGGATCCTTGGTAGAATTCAATCATCACTAATTATCAACCAACTGCTTTTTATGTTGATGAGTGTTATCAGAGAATGAGTCCATCGTTTCCAAAGTTTTATAATTATGACAACAGTTAGAGATAATTAATACAGAATTCGCTGAGTCATATTTCCAAGTTCGGTCAACTTACAAAATAATTTGAATACCATCCAATGGCTTCAGTGATGAATATCATACTATCACTTGCTTTGACTTCTCACTAGAATGTATCACAAAAGTGATCTCATATCACGATGACTACCATATATAAGTAATTATCACTCATTACAACTACGGAGATGTTGGATGTCAACCTATATCTCCGATGTTTCTGTAGCGTGAGAGACAAGTTTCAGCCTAACTAGTGCAATCTCATAAGACAGAGTAGATAGCGCTTATGCTTTTAGTTGGTTTTATAATCAGAGTTATGCGAATTGCCTCAGTTTTTTTTACTTTTTTAAACTACAATATCTGATTTTTCTGTGATGCTCTTAATGATTAGTAAGGTTGGCTAAAATGAGTTTCAACAAATATGACGTTTCTTTTAATGGGTCGATGTCATCTTACATATTATAAAAAGCTTTCCTAATAGGATTATGAATACTCGGATCTAGCAAACTCCACAAGACTTATTACAAATAGTATGAGGCCGGATCTTCGATTCTTTTCCAACTAGTATCAATATTGTACATATAGTTATCATGGAGATGTTTAAAAAGATGGTATTCAGATAGACTGATTAAAAGTATTAATGCATATGCATCGACGTTGTCCACAGAAGTGTATCATTATGTAGATTTTAAAAAGCCGGAGACTGATCAATAGAAGATGGCTAGCAAAGCGATAAGATATAATCCCTTAAAGTACATGGAAACAGTAGATTTTGAAAGGTACTTTGCTTCGAATCTCCTACATGTTTTTGATGTTGACTCATTTTACTGACTGGTATGTTGTATTTTGATATAATTTTAAATCAGAGTTGTAACGGAAAGATTACGCAAAAAATTTTATTGAACAGTACTTTTGTTCTGACGAGCACCTCTCGTTTTATCGCTAGAAGTAACCAGACAAGTAGTGGATAGGTCTTTATTTGTGTAGTGAAACAGAACAAATGGATCTCAAGGTAATTTTCTTCGAATATACAAAGTTTTTCGACATCCAACACAAAATATTAGGAAATATAATGCCTACACAAAATAGGGAAGTGAGTGAATACTTGAGCTATAATATTTTGATATCACTAAGATGTTTGCGGCCAACTGTTAACCAATCAACCTAATCCGTCGCATCAATTTTACCTAGGATCGACATCCGAGAGAATGTCATTTCGATCAAGCTATCAGACGAGAACAAATCATTTCGTTTTCCTGGGTCCAAAGGATAATTACGAACTAATTCAATGTTTAACTTCCAATGGCGACAAGCGCACAGTCAGCAGTCGGAGATATTCAGTCGATGCTATTTACTGAATTAGCTTGTTATTTTCATACATAACTTGCTAAATTTATCCTCTGTCTGAGAATCAGCGAACAAAACCCTCTGCATTTATGTAGTGTCCCAGTTTCGGAGGGAAACTGACAAGAAAGTAGGAAAGCCTTTAATATAAAACAGTGGATTAGCTTTACCAGGTTCATGCCTTATAAATCACCACGATTATCATTACCACGCATCAGCGACTGATTACTATCGTGCTTATTATCATCACAAATTCCACTCTTATTCTCTATATTTCCATATGCTTACATTGTGTGCACTACCTAAGTACAAATTGAGTAACTGGTCAGAACTCAGTAGCTAAGCAAGCGACGCGATGGCGTATAGCATGGCGTCGAGTGGCGGTTGACTATGACCACCACTACAGGAAGAATACGTGGCAGCTAACCGGTAAGATCCCCCATAAGCCAAATATCAGAAGGCAGTTGATGGCTGTAGTCGAGATGTATTCGTTGGAGATCTCGTGGCATCGAAAGAATACCAAGATCGTGCGAATATAAGTTCGTGCAAGGTAACAAGCAACGGAAGAATGTGTGTTTGTAATACAGTTAAACAAACAAGCACGGTAAAATAATTCCTGGCACAATTGATTATAATAATAATTGTTTCCATTACACCCATTGCATTCTGTTGATAAAAGTAGGTCACTACAGGAGTTTGAAGAGTACGGTACTGGTTTTCATTCCCAGAGTGAGATGTTGACGAGTCCCAAATAGGATGAAATATGCGTCCAGAATTCCACTGCTAGCCATTATCTATCTCTACTTGTAATGCCTGTGAACCAAGGCAATATCGCGGCATACGCGCGGTATGCATATATGTCAATGAAAGAATGATCACCAGCAGTCTTAAACATCAATGGGAAGATTTAAGTAAACAATAACATGTGAATTAAACTGATTCATTAATTCATTGAAGCAATGGTTTATTTAGGTTCCGATTTTCTTTTTGTGGTTTCTGACATTGAAACCTCTACGCTGTTCTCAGATTATGTGGTATCTCCGGATACCCCGGATTCCTACCTTTTTGAGATAAACTCAGTCAAATTACAATACATACCAACACAGTAAAAGGCAGTAGTCTGACTAAAACTAGTAGTGCATTTTACCAGAAACTCGAATGCATAAAAAGCCATGCAGTAAAAGAAAAGAAATCAAGCGCTTCATACAGGCTTGTTGCAATGAACTAAAATTGTTTAACATGGTGAATATAAGAGTAGAGTTCATTGAACTAATTTAAATCTCAAGGTAATGAGGCGTCAAAAATATTTTCCTAAATGTACGTTTGCTGCCACATATCGTTTTTCAACCTTTGAAGGGTCCTTCGGATTCGCATCAGAAACGGTCGTTCTTGGATGCATTTTGCAATTAGGAGTTTTGTTTACTGCTTATATTGTATATACAAAATTCAAAATGTCATATGAAAAGATATTGTTTGCTGATGCTTATGCTGTTAATGGGACTCCTCAGGGATCAGTAAGTTGTAACGAGTTGTCAACGATTTACTGCAGGTCGTAAGTGAAACTAAAGAACATTCTTTATTCTTGACTATCCACTTGAGCCCTATTGCATCTCCACAAGAATGTTTGGAGTCTATTGGACATATTGAGGTATTTTATTGCGTGACATGCTTTTAATACTTGCATTTCGGTTATACTCGGCCTCATTCTTACGCATCTGTATTAGTGAATGGAAAGAAAATGTATTATTAGATCAACAGAATTTAACTTCTGTACACAACATAAACTCATTTGTATTAATATGGGAAATGAGCCATACATGTTGAATACATTATTCGGATTTTTTTTGAATGTTCTTTTTAGAGATATGTTGATTCAATTTGTCCAAGACATTTGTGTCGTGGAGATGAAATTCTATATGGTGTCGGTTTCGGATTTGATTTCTTTCGAAAAATCAGCCCCGATTTTGAACACAAGAAAGTTGAACCCTTTGAATATCATGAACGTTCAGGGGCTTTGGGTAGACTTCCTAAGACGGGCAAGTTCATGTTTTGATTGTTTCGGTGTTACAAAAACAATTCATTGAGTATTTCCACTAACCTTTTTTACCAAGTTCATTAAAAATGCGTCTTGGTAATTATCTTCATATTTTGTTGTTATTTTGTCAGTAGCATGCCATTAAAAAGATGTTTTTCAATTAGAAGGGAAACACAAACGAACCGTTCTTACAAGGCGTTGGCAACCAGACTTCCAAGTCTTGCTTTCGAGCTCTAGACGGAGCTAGTTTATTAGCGCACCCATAGAAAATCATTCATAGTTTAAGATGCTCACTTCTTGTAGATTGTTTAAAAGAAATGTTATTAAAGTGGCTTATACCAGATTTAGTAATAACTGAACATACAAATTGCTCTAATAATTTGTCTTAGTAGAATTACATTTAAAGTAAACACGGAGAAAATGCTAACTATATCCCTCGTATAGTTGCCAAGCGGGACGTTTAAAAACAGTAGAACTGACAAAAATGTCAATAATATATTCTCCAGGTCCTCAGTTTTGTCTTTGGATAATTTATACTTTTCGCGAAAAGTCTTGAAGTGATTCAATACTTTTAAGTATTTTTCCTCAAAAATGTTTTATTTATTTAATAGGCGGAGATATATTTATTCATGCTAAGTGTAATAATTATGGCAAGTTGTTTGAACTGACACAAGCCATCATTATTAATTTACCACCCAGATCTGTAGACAGATTCGAGGATATTTACGGATGGGTTTATCGTAATGGGCGTGATTTGAGTGGTTTTATTGATGGTAAGTTGTTTCTTAGATAAGCTATCTTCGTTGTTACATTGGTCTGCGACTCACAACTGATGTAAAACATAGTGTATGTGTGTATAGGTTCATGTCTCCACACTATATCCGAGAGATCAGATGAAATCAGCAAGACGAATATAATCGTAGTAGACATAGTAAAATTACCAATGGTAACAAAAAAATTAACCACAGAAAATATGATTTATTAAAGAAAAATGGATTCACGGAATGGGAAACATCAAGTAACTTTAAAACTCAAGATTGAAAGAAAAAACGGTCAGCGCGTCTGTTTCATCGCTGCCAATTCTGAGCTATATCACCTAGCCTTTGACATCACTGACCATAAAAACTGTGTATACCCTGATCATGTAGTCTGAATCATCTGACATGGCTTATGATAACAGTTAGTACCTTCACAACTTGACGCTATGTGTTTGCTTTTATGCCATCAACTTTTTCACAACCTACTCCTTCAAGAATAGAATAACCTATCGTTTTAGAACGTTGTTTGTTGTACATAATATGCATATAAGTCATTTCAGTTGTCGAAGATTTGTGACATCATCACATTATTTTCCATCTTGATTTAATACCCTTCAAAATTTAAATGGTCGTAGAAAACTAGGATTAAGCCCCTCTCCACTCATAAATACAGGTTTCATTTAGTTTTAAGCGATATTCTACGCGAAATTCTAAACCAAGCGAAATCTTACTGCAAGAGAAATTACTGCTTAGCAGATTGAATAATCTATTCCCTGTGCTTAATATGTGACGTAAAGATAAGAAGATAGATGGGTTTTGTTTCAAGAAAAGTTCATATATTCACAAACGTTGATCAAGTCAATTGTAATACTGTTAGGTTTATGAATGAATTTTTCCACCTTTTTCATCTGATTATAATTTCGTTTATTTATATTAGTAAGTTGTAATTAATCATTTAAACTATTCATTTGGCTAAGACAAATCATTCATATGTATATAACTGAATTTGACATTTCAACAAATACGGACGATATAAAGTAGTTTAATGTAACAGATATTATATTAGAAGAACTTCTAATAACTAATTTGTATGAATAACATATGCATATACTTATAATATGTATTCTGCTGTGCATCAAGGAACAATGAATCCGAGAGATCCAGATGAACGGGCAGAGGTAGCAATCAACACATATACAGGCGGAAGTTATGGTCTTGTTCAAAAATGGATTCATGATATGGATTTTCTTCGATCAACACCAGGTAATAAGCAAATAAATAATAAATTGTCCTGTGTGTATTCAGTTAGGAAATTCTCTCGTGAAAACAAATATTCGAATGAAGAGAATTGTGAGTAGCTGACTATGTGGTGTCGTTTAAGAAACCTAACTATTATATACCAATTAACATATGAGACAAGAAATTCAGTCGAACTTAATTCCACTTTAGTCACACTGAATGTAGAATTTATGCTGTAGTTAGTTATTGATAGTAAAGTCAGTACTTCTCCGTTATTCCGACAGTTTATTCTATCTTGATGTGGTGGCCGGGCTTGCCTGTCATGATTAATCGATTGAGATATACTCGCCGGAACAATCGTTCATCAAGGTTTTACCATTTCAGACAGGTCGGCTGAAGAGTGATAAGACTAATAGCAGCAAACCCAAGGTCCGAAGGCGAAGTCTTACTAATGGCTGTACATAGGCGTGACAGCAGTAAGGTGTTTCCTTCAGATAACCAGCATAACGCCGATTCTGCCTTCCCACAAGGAGGGAAGGGGTCAGAAAAGGTCGACTCAAAAAATGCACATCTCACCTTATCCTACAGATTTCCGTCTCTAGCGGTAATGGTTCCAATTAATAGGGAGCTAACACGAAAATTACTCACAAAAAGAGCGTGTGTGACCGGCCTCAAGCAGTCGTCTCACTTCTAACCCAATTTTTTCATGTAGCTCCATAAGTACCCTTCCACGGTGTAGACAACGGGAAAATGATAACTGTCTTTATACCTCTAACAGCATTTAAGATCACTATATTCATAATCAATCTCCCCATCCATTATTTTAATTGAATGATACGTTCATTTCGAATCTGATTGATCTTTTTTGTTACATAATTACACACAAACATGTTCAGATGTCTGTTTTAAACTTAGTAACTGCTAGACATACCATCATTATGATCAGTATTATTATTGTTGAGCTAAAACAGTGCATTTTTTGTCCATTATAACTTTCCCTTGTACTAAGTTGTTTATTTACGACAAAGTCATAGATGTTTATAGATTGATATTACTTGTTAATAATGATATAACTGCACTACTTTTAAAGTGCATCTTGGTATATGAACAAAACATGATATTATCTTTTTTCTTACTATTGATCTAATAATGAATAATATGTATGATATATATTGACAATAATGAAACAATAATATGAATCTTTAGCGTTCTAGCATTTAATAAATAAATCTCCTTACTGATAATCATTATGTGCTCATTTGTGATTAACTTTAAGGCGGAACTCCTGCTGTACTTGTGAGAAGCTATGACTAATGGAGTCAAATCTGCGTTGAATGTGAAGCGGTTACTCATCGAAAACAATGAAAGATAGTCGTGCAGTAACATGAATTAGTTGAAGGTTAATACTAGGACAGTTGAGTTTTATCTTAGTTGTCTAGAGGTTAAACGTTTGTGAACTAAACTGAATGTCCTGGATTTGAGTTTTGAGTGTAGGATTGTGGGTCCACAATGTCGAAGAGTACCATGCTAGGATGAAACGATCGTCTAGTGTCTCTACCTTTACAATGGTAGTCTAGCTTAAATCAACTTGTCAATTCCATATTTAATCACAATTTTAAAAGAAATATTCATCTTGACGTAGATTAGTCAAGATTAAAAAGAAATCACTAGTTGAATATTTTAGATTGACATCATGAACTGAATGATGTTCGACCAACATTGAAAATCTAGAAGTACTGGACGACTGCTTCTTCCTACAGTCGGACTCCTCAGCAGTACTCATTCACAATCTCGCTTTCAAGATTTGAAGCCAGGTTCTTTGGTCTCGTATGCGGATGCTTAACCTCTAGATTATTGAGTCAGTATCCAACGATGTTATTGTTTAACTTCAACTAATCCATGAAATTGTGCAACCATCTTCCATTATACTGAGATGGATGTTTATTTCTACTCGACATCGATTAACTCTACTGGTCACATTAATTGATATCTATTGAAATTCGATTCAGAATATATCTAACATTATGAAATCTTATTTATTTATAGATAATATAAAAGAAAAATGGATTGGTCGAACAATTGAACATAGTTTTGTATTACATGATAAATCTATTACATCACATATTGCTAGAATGATTGGATGTAAGCAATATCATAAGTATTACATTTTTCAAATTGAATAAATTTTATTGTATTTCTTATGAAATAATCAATTATCAGAAAGGGTTTTGTGAAGATTTTTTTTTAGAAAGTTCAATAGTTGAAATCATGAATCAATTGAAGCTAGACCACTGTGGAAAACCTGAAAGCACTGGATGGCCGTTTCGTCCTAGTATGAGACTTCTCCGTGGCAGTGCGCATCCACGATCCTGCCCCCTTCGCGAGATTCGAACCCAGTACCTATCAGTCTCGCGAGTATTTGGTTGTCCATGCTGGTGTTCTAGTTCACTAATATTACAGAAAACTTGAGAACACTATAACTTAAGTGATTATCAGCCGCTTGAATGTTCGATGTGAACAAAAAGTCATGAAATTGAACGTCTTATAAGTGGAATTATCGGATGTAGTTGTTCCTTTTGTTCTATCAAAGTAATAGCCATCATAGATACATAGAAAGGTGTAGGATTATGTAACAAGTATTTAATGAAACAAAAGAAATTTGAATGACTTTCTAAACTGTTTACTAGATAATACTGAACATACATTTTTATATCCTAAATGAGTGAGAGAATTGTATTCCTGACGTTTTGTAACTTAATTAAGGCCACTTCTTCAGAGTAAATAAGTAACCGACAGTAAATTGACACACACTAAAGTCTCGCGCGCGAGACTGATAGGTCCTATGTTCGAAACTCATAAGGGACGGGATCGTGGGCACGCACTGCTGAGGAGTCCCATACTAAGACGAAACGGAAGTCCAGTGCTTCCAGGTTTTCCAATAGTGGTCTAGCTTCAATTGACTCATGATTTCAACTTTTGAAATAATTAATTAACGAGATTATAATTTATGGGACGAAACAATCAGGTATAAGATAAAAAGTCTAGGATTTTAGCGCGAAATTCATTCATTCATTTGGATAAATAGAGTTTTGGTATCATAGCTGATATCAGTTCGTGATGAAAATCCTAAATCTAATTCCTATCCCTAACTATTAACTGTAAATCATAATTCTGATCCCTCACATTGGTTTATAACCCACAATTGGCCCTAGTTATTAAGTGAACACTATGAAAGTCAGTCGAACGTCGCTCAAAAGTTGTCCATAAATTATTGTCTCATTAATTAACTTATTTGTATTTTAATCCGTAAGAGGATTTGGTAGAGATTGTGGTAATTCTAATGGTTGAATTCATGAGTCAATTATGCTAGACCAATATAAAAAAACTTGAAAACATTGGAAAGTTGTTTCATCCTAGTGTGAGACTCTTCAACAATGCTCATTTATTTGTATGTTATACAATAAAAGAGAATTTATACTCATTGTCATAAATGACTATTAAATGTATACAGTAGTGGTGAAGGTTTGAATTAGACAAGAATGAAAGTACATACTACTGATAAGTTTCATATTAGACTAGATTTCACTGTTATCTATCATTCAACCTTACTGAAAATTATTCCATTTGTTTGAAGATTTATTTGTTAAAAAAATGAACAAACACTCTCTAAACGGTAGTATCAATACCTTCAAGATTTGAGATACACCTAAATGATTGGTTACAGTTACCATAAGATTTGAATTGAAATTGTTGAGTTGGATTTCGAGAACTACAAAGGAGCCTCCAAAAGCCTTAAATGAGCCAAAGAGTTCCAGCCAATCAGAGCATGATGGAGCTTTCTAGAATACAAACGTCACTGATAAGTCTTGCTAATTGAACGCTTTATTCAGTTCCTAAGCTATTCTGGTAACCCTCAAGCTATAACTATACAGCCATCTGAACACGAGAGAAAATATGCGAGAATCACTTTACTCCAAAGGTTCGTTTTTGTACAGAAAAACACGGGTATTTATAGATACTAACATTTGTTAAATCAACATTATATTTTGGCCAATCCTCTAAGAAACATGTTATGCTACTGACATATAGTAGCATGCCACGTTGATATTTTAGAAAGCTCCATCATGCTCTGATTGGCTTGAACTCTTCGACTCCTTTAGGGCCTCTGAAGGCTCCGTTGCAGTTCTCGGAAGCCGACTCAACACCTCCCCCGAATAAAATCTCTTCCTAGGATCCACTAGTAGCTTGACAACTAGTTCGCAGCGGCGTCCCACTATTCTTGCTGTCTTCCTTGTCCGAGACTTCTTTTCAGTGTCCTTGGGGATTCGTAACGTTGTCAAAGATTTGGCAGCGTGGGAGATAGCTTTTTCAGACCCATTAGGAAAAATGTGAGAGATGACTGCCAACTCAACAGAAAGCTTTTTGTTACCCATTTCCAAAACATTTCGATTATTAGAATTCGATAGATATTAAGAATTGAACAACATGAAACTAGTTACTACTCATCAGTTTGTTTGTATACTTAGTATGTTATGAACTGATAATGTCTGATCAACGGATCCGAAGTATTTTGAATAGACAACTGTGAATAAACATTTGTATCTTCTGGATGATGGCTTTCGTCGTTCTTCAAGTTTCTGCCCTATACAATAGAACTTCCTCGACATTTGTATTGAAAATGTCGACTGTGGTGTTGGTTTTCAGTTGTTTAGAGTTTCAGATGTTCTGCAGTTGTAAATATGCCTCTATTGCTTTGCCGATCAGCACCTTCATATATGAATTAGATCCACTGTGTTCATCAATGATAGTGCCTAGATATTTAAAGGTTTTTACATCTTCCAAAGCTTCTCCATCAAGTATGATTTGATGGGTTTGCGTTTTGTTATGTTGTATCGGAGAATCTTGCTTTTCTGTTTGTGTACGTTGAGACCCATTGCTGCTGAGGCTGCTGCTACACTGATTGTCTTTGGCTGCATTTATTGTTGCGTGTGCAATAGAATAGCCATATCACTTAAGGACTCTAGTTCGTCCAATTGCATCCTAGATGTCCAAATCGTATCTTTGAGTTGACTTCTTTTTTCGATACAAATATCAATGTTTATTTTTGTCTTTTTTTCTTCTTCTTCTATTAAAAGCTGCAGAAAGAGGTAAATGGCCAAAATTTCGTATCGTTCGACAATCTCAACCATATGGTACATTATCTGGTGAAGCTGGACTATTATTCATTGCATATGCAGCTGAAATAAAAAATTTCAATTTTATGCTAGATCGTATGACTGGTGATACTGAAGATAGAGAAATAGATGATGTAATGCGTTTTAGTCATTGTGTTACAGGAAATTATTGGTACTTTCCTAGTCAAGAAGAACTCACTCGTTTAGTTACTATGGACAAACTAGAACCTTAACTCACAAGCTTAATCATATTTTTATAAAATTAATTTAAATGGATGATCTAGTGATTTTTCTTTCTTACTTAAACAAACGCTATTTAGTATTATGACATTCAGCGTTTGGTACACTTGTATCTAACCTGAAAGTAGATGATGTGCTATGGGTGTAGTGAACAAGAACACGAGTGGGAATAATCGGATGTATTTGAGCACAAAACTACAGAACATCTCAATACGTGCACTCCAGCGGCCTGCTGAGTCATCTGCATCTAATGTCCGCCCATCATCCTCACCTCCAACCGATCCTTTACGTCTACAGCACCCTCCAGAGCCAACGCTGCCAAGCCGGAAGACTACTCGACGTCACCTTTTCGCACCAGACTGCCCCTACTAGCACCTCAACTCCAGGCCCGCAACGGCGTCCGTAGGACAGCGCTCCTCCCCCTCCTTGTTGTCAGCGACACTAAACGTATTAAGCAGGAACTCAAGTGGGCTCAGTCGAATGTACTTGATGCTACATTACAGAGCATCTCACTGAAATCTGAGAACCATACATTAAATAGTTAATTTGCAAAATATTAATCAAGTGTCTCAAACTTGACTGTTTCTTCTGCAGATATCAGTCCATTCTCTCAGATTTCATTGTTCATACATTTTTATACCATCTGCCTTCTGTTCCTGTTCTTTCCTTCTCGATCTTCTACTGAAATACATTCCGTCACTGACCATCATTATATACTACTTATGTGGATATAAGTAGCTCACATCACAGGGGTAAATATACTGGAAAGCCTGTATGTACAGTTATCTGATAGTTAAACGAATACGAAAAAATGGTTAAGATCATGAGTCATATGATTATAGACCACCATGGAAAACCTGGAAGCACTGGACGGCCGTTTCGTTATATTGTGGGACTCCTCAGTAGTGCGCATCCACGACCTCGCCCTCTCCGAGATTCGAACGCAGGACCTACTGGTTTCGCGCGCGAGCACTTAACCACTGACCACTAAGCCGGCATCCAACGGCGTTGGTGTCTAACTTCAACTAATCCACGAAATTGAGTGACACATTCACCATTGTCTTCAGTGAGTTACTATCTCACAACAGACCTGGTTGAACTCCACTGGTCACTGCTTCTCACTAGAACTCCAGGATATACCTCGTGAAGCCAGTCACTAATGAGCATATGTTGATTAATATCAGATGGGTTTTCCATGGTGGTCTAGCTTCAACTGACTCATGGTCTTAACCAGGGAAATTACTACAATCTCCACAAAACCCATCCGAATACGAAAAAAGCCAAGCTGAAGAGTCAATAAACATATAAGCTGAATTTATACTTAATTATAACTATAATCGATAGTAATAATGATAATTCCTAGTGGGACAAGATGATCTAGTAACTGAAACTATGCTGTGTGCTACTGATATCGACTTATATAAACAGTATATAACATTAATCAAAAGTGAAATATTTGGCGGCAGAAAGTAAAGATCAAAATGAAAAAAGGATGAAAACATAGAATGATTGATATGAAAACGAAGGAACAGTCAATTTTGAGACAATTGATTGACATTTTGTAAATGAACTATTTACTTTATAAATTCACTTCGTATTGTTTAGCTCGAATCTTTCTATTGAGGTTTAGCACTGCAATTGATCAGTCTGTTATTGGCTTATGTGTATCCTGTGTGAACTGCCCCAATATTGCCCGATGTCACAAACATTATAAGCAGAGATGGACAGTGGCTCGCAGTGGAATCCAGTTTTTCGCACGTTTCGTTCTATTTGGAATTCGTCAGATGAATGTACCTGCATCTCAGAATTGATGTTCACTGTGGGACTCAAACCCAGTACCGTTTTCTTCAAACGGTATCGCGTTCTCAACTTAGCTACTGAGTCTTATATAGTTCTCAGATTTTACTAAGTGATTCTGTTATTTTGTATTCAAGTGCAATTTGTTGACCATACTGGTGTTCTCATTCACGAATATTACAGAAAACGGAATGTTAGAGTCTTCAAATAGCTGTATTTGATCATACTTCAGGTACGGTAGTCCTAATATCACCTGAATTATCCACCTCATCGGTAGCAATTGTAGAGACCCTGTACATCCTTTTAAAGCGTACTTTGCAAATTTTGAATTGAAGCAAAACCGGTAGGATTCTGCTTAATTAATTCGGCAGTCTTTGGCATTAAGGCTTTGAAAGAAATGTTGTTGTATAATGAAATTCTTCTTCTTTTACTGCGTGTCCAATCTCAACAGAAGAGTATCGTGCATAGCATGCTTGCATGAATGTCGTCAGATCCAACATTCATTTAACGTAAGTTTAAATGGTCTCCTTTGTTTCCTTTGTACTATTTAAACTTGTATTTCTTTTCTACTTTGAAGAAGTGGCTTACATTCAGTTACGAAACGTCAAAAATATAATTTTCTTACTCATTGTAATATAACAAAAGATATTTATTAATAACTCTCGACCCAATGGTCAACTTATTTAGAAATATCAAGTTCAATCTTGATGTTGATATTTATTTTTACTAGATACATTTAGTAATCTTAATGTTGTTATGTAAGATTAAATTAGACAGTCTTTGTTGACTTTCCAAATCCAAGAATGGATTCATCAACACTTACTTATTTACTTACACCTGTTACTTTCAGAGGAGCCATCGACTAGCATTCTCAAACTCACTCTGTCCTTGGCCTCCCTTTCTAGTTCTATCCAATTGTTGTTCATTCTTCTCATGTCTGTCTCCATTTCTCGGTGTAATGTGTTCTTTGGTCTTCCTTTCCTACTTTTGCGCTGAGGATTCCAAGTGAGGGCCAGCCTTGTAATACAGTTGATTGCTTTCGTTAATGTTTGTCCTATCCTTTGGGATCTGATTTGTTCTCTTAATCAGTATAACCTTATTTTCGTAAAACTACAATATATATTATTATTAATGACTGCGATCACAAACGAGAAAGAGTGTTTTTTAATCCTATGTGAAAACTTTATTTCAGTACTGATGTACTCGGCAAAATGGTTTGTAATGAGACTTCACTGATAATTTCTAATTTATGTCTAACCGACATGAAATGAATGTTGTTACTTGAATTAGAACCGTACTTAATGACACAAACACTATCTTAAGAAGTCCTTGAATATTTGCAAATATGAAATGCAACATGGAGAGTTTATGTTACTATCTCAAAGTAGTTAATTGCTAGAAGTAAATATTGATAGCCTATTACAAATAATTTGTTTTTCAACAGTTGAGATCATGATTCAGCTAAAGCTGGATCACCATGGAAAACATAGAAGCATTTGCCGACTATTTCATCCTTTTATAGAACTCATCAGTGTGTATCCACGATCCCGCCTCGCGAGATTCAAACCCAGGACCTATCAGTCTCACGCCCGAGCGCATGACTACTAGACGTTGTCGTTGTCGAGTGATGTTTATGAAACGAAATTCAGGTTCTTAATTTCAACAGAATTTACTCTTGTGCTGAAATACAAATCATTTGAATTTTATAATTCTAAAGGAATATGCTTATTATCAGAAAGGGGATTTGTAGAAATAATAATAATTATAATAGTTGAATTCATCAATCAAGTAAAGCTAAACCACCATGGTAAACCTGAAAGTACTGGATGGTCGTTTCGTTCTATTATTCAGGCACCTCAGCAGTGGGCATCAACTATTGGGATTATTGTGAAAACTATTCATAATCAGTATGTGGAAACTTTCAGAATTAATTTTCATGAAGTCTTGTTCTCTGAGCTGGATGATTTGGTCGTGGAACTTTCGTCGTTCCTCTGCATGACATCATCAGCATAAACTTTATCAAAATCATCTACCTGAGGTATAAATCTTCTTTACCATCTTTCCCCAACCTCTCAATTTCGGGAGAAATCTGACTCATTTTGGGGAAGCCACTCTAGAAAATTTTTGGGGAAATATCACCAAAACCTCAAACCTCAAACTACCCAAAATTTTTCCAGTATCTTATTACACTTTAGGGAAATCGGCTTGTATTTATTAATAAAAAACCCAAAGTTTTTCATAATTTTGAGTAGATTTTACTTTCTTTTACTGAAAATCCCCCCAAAATTGGGAGATTGGGTCTGAATCAAATAATATACTGTGTCGGGTAAAGACAAGTATACACCCTAGTACAATGGAAGATGGTCATGCAATTTCTATCCCATTCACTTACTACTAGTTGCGTACTCAACTACGTAATGTTCACAGTCATGATAAGTGTGGTTCGAGTAAAGATATCTGTGTATATTGACGATAGGAGGAAGTCGAAGGAGATAGAGAAGAGGATACGATATTATGATTAAAAGTGTTTGAATTAATGCACTAACTGGGAAATCTTGAAACAATTTATGTCAGACATAACTAGATAAACTCAAATGAACTTAATGTATTTGGAATTCATAATAAGCAGGTAATCATATAAAGAGGAATTATTAGTTCGTACAAATACCACATCCGCCAAAGCTTATTCAAGAATCCGAATTCCTGTAATCAGTTGTACTTCTTCTAATTAATTTCATTGTGTGTTTGTCTGACTGTGTATTGGATGTAGACACTGTATAAGTTAGAATGTGCTCATTGGTGTCACGATTAACAAGTGAAATTTGAGCAGATTCACCTGATTGCTTGTAACATATTCGGTTGTTGTGAGTGACTCGCATATGGACCACAGATTTATTGAGTTGTTTTAGCAGACCTTCCATAAATTGTAGAAAAAGAATTGTTTTACGAAACTTTTTTTGTTTAAGCGACTTCATCATTGTTTCTTTTCTGTACGATCTAGTAATTCCGCTCTTGGGACTTTATGCCCTCTCCTCTCCCCTCCAGGTCTTTGAATTTTGCAACATTGATAAAAATGATGTTTATTTTCAAGA